CTGAGGTACATAAGTTTTACAAAGTTTTATAAAAAGCGTGTGGCACCTCCTTTAAAAGTGGTACATTCAGGGGACTATAACCTTGGAACCATTGCGAATAGAAGCTAAAAGGAATGTCCTCTAGTAAACACACAGGGCGATTTTGGTAACTATCCTTCAACTCACCACAGCCTTTCGTTAGACGAAAGTCTTTTGTAAGACAATTGTCAATTCTGGCAACTATCTTGAACGCTCTTTGCTGTCTTTCGAAAGACTAATTGAAAGAGAAAGAAATTAAATTAGAAAATATACATATATATTTTTCTTTTTCAACCATAAAAACTAATAAAAAAAAACAAATTAACTATAAAAAAATAATAATAGTAAAATGAATGAATGAAAAATAAATAAAAATATTTAAAAAAATCAAATGAAATTAAACAATTGTTACTTTTTTTCTTTTCAAAATTAATTTCTAAAAATTAAATGAAATGATGAAATTTATATCTACATATACCTCGGTGAATTGCATGTGACTTTTATTTGAGTTGTGTAAACCAAATAATGCAATTAAACCAATGACCTAGAAAAGTACCCGCTCTCACAGCGGCCGACCAAGGGTAGCTGTTAGTTTGAAGCATGCTTGAATAAAATTATTTGAAAACCATCATACAAAAAATTATAAATCGCACAGCGGAAAGAGGCAAAATTAATAACTGTAAATAAATTAGAAGCTGAAAAGTTTAATAACACTGCTGTGCAGGTTTTCATTTCGTTCAATTCTTTGTAGCTAGCTTTGCGTAATGAAACTTTTTTTAACTAAATTAGCTATTCATTTGTTTCAAAGCGCACGTAATATTTATTACGTATGTACTTGACTTTTTTCACTTGTATAAATGTGTATATCTACATATACTTTTATTTTTAACATTCACTTAATAAACTAATTAGGTCCATAGCTGAAACGAATTGGCGCTGCAGCTTAAAAGTGAAAATAAAGCGTGCAGTGAAGAAAATGTACAAAAAAATACCAAAGCGGGCAAAAAACGAGAAAAAATTTTACATAAAAAAGGTGGAACTGCTTGGCGGTTTAGCAATGAAACCGGAACTACTTGACAGCCACCCTAGCCTTTTACTTGCGTTCAACTGTTGCTGAACCACGGCTCTGTAGCGCTGCCGTAGCGGAATATTGTATTTGTTGTACTGAGCTGAATGAAATATTTGCTTTCGCTTTTTTTGCCCTTTTTCGCTGATCGTAGATAAAGTTCTTAAACTAATTTCTAGATCACGCTGTGGAGGATTATGGAATTACTCTACTAGTAATAAATACATATGTAAAAATTTTATTCTAGATTCTGATTGCTATACGTAAAAAATAAAAAGTTTAACTTCTTAACAAATTTTTAAAATTCGCATTACTTTTAACAAAAATATTTTTTATTGCAATAAGATCACATCTTCATCTTACTTTTTTCAATCTACAACTTAACTATGAGCATTAAAAAATTTTTATACTTACTAGTTTTGCTACTAAAATATTGCAGTTTTGGTATTTCTGAAAATTAGCGTTATATGGGAGTTAGGCGTGGTTATGGTCCGATTTTGCCCATTTTCAATACCATCCGTGCTACGCTAAAAAGAAGTACATATACCAAGTTTCGTTATCTATGCACAGTCGGACGGAGAGACAGACACCGCTTAATCGATTTCTCTTTTTATTCTGATCATTTATGTATATATTTGTCTATATCTATCTCGAATCGGTTTGCCTGTTACAAACAACCGTTATGTGAACAAAGTTATAATACCCTTGTGCACAAGTGCGCTCGGATATAAAAATAATTTTCGGTAACTACTATTAGTGCTGTCACATGATGTAATTTCGATATGACAATTATGTATTAGAAGAAATGGTAAACTCTCTAGAAGTGTTTACACAGCAATCTTTATTTGTCTGCGAAATTTAGCTTCTATATATTTTTCTCTACTATTATACATACATACATATGTATGCCTAAAAATTATATTTAAATGTTGTTGTCTTTTTGCTTTAAAGAAATCTGATTATTTAGTTACAATATTGTCAGATGTACCGAAATAAACCAACTTTAAATTCCTTCAGTATAGTTACAAATTAGAAATAAATCCACAATGAAATTTGCTTTGACGCCTTTGTGGTCTGCTTACACATTATCCATCGTGGAATTGGTTATGTTACTTTAAACTTGTAGTATTATGTAGAAAAAACGATAAGCCTGCAGCAGGAAGCAGGCGCCAAGACTTGTTGCTCTGTGCACGCCACCTAGCATTTATGTAACTTGGGTGGCTGCCAAAGCAAAAAGAAGGAGTGTACATATGTACATACTTAGAACAGATTGAGCTGGATAACTACTAAATAGAGTGGGCCGAAATACCGCTTTTTTAGAATTTTGATTGGTAATAGCAAAAATATGCTTTTGTGTGAAGGATGACAATTTTTGGTCAATATTATAGGCTCACAAAAGAACAGGAACCAATGACAACTAAAAAAAAAAATAAACCCCTATTTTCTACAGTTCAGACTTTTTAATCTGACACTTCATTTTTGAAAATAGAACGAATCGTGCAGATCTGATGGCACTGACCAAAAATGAAAATATTATTTTGGGCATTAGCAAAAAACGCATTACTTCAAGAAGTACAAAGAAATGAGCATGTTTTTCTTTCTTCTTTTGAAAGCTAAAACCCGTGTTATCTACTGAAAATAATAAAAAATGAGATATTTTTACATATACTTTTTATTAATTCCATTAAAATTTAAAATTGTTTTCTGGAATACCGCAGATATTCCAAAATTTTTATTCCTGTATTTCTCTATGGAAATTTCTGTTTACTCCTTTTTATTGGATAAATTACCTTTACAAAAACAGCAAACAGGTTCACATTGCTGACAATGAGTTTTTCGATTTTTGACCACTTAGGCGGCACTGTGCGCTGGTCCCAAATATTCTAATTTTTTGTTTTTTTTATATTAGCTATACTTTGCCAATTTGTTGCAAATTTAGGAACAATTTCGATAGTTCTAACAGAAAAGCCATTATTTTTCATCACCGTGGAAAATTTTTGTTTATGTAAATGAGTATGAAAACACTAAACAGGCACAACTTTTAGAAACGCGAATTAGTTTACTTATGGTTTTCCATACAATACAAAAATTGCAAATATGGGAAGTTGACAAAAATTTTTGTTAAATTTTTTATTTTTATTTTTATTTTTTAAATAATTTTTATAATCTGATCGATTTTCATCATATTATTATCATAAATCAATAACAGTAAGTCTCGCTTTCAATTTGGCAATTATTACGTACCGATCGAGTAATATTTACCTAAGTTATATCGAAAAACTTAGGTGGATCTTTTTCTAGAAAATATCACTTTAATTGTGTAAATAACTTTTAAATAAAAGAACCGGATTACAGAAAAGTGTCTAATTGGAGAGTCCACTAAAGGATTTCGCAGTCGCTTTTTCACATAATGGAATTACCTAACTAAAATATTTATATCTAAACACTTATTGCACGTCTCCTACTTTCATATAATGGCAAATTTAGAAACCGCCGGTGAAACCATTCCGATCCAGTTTTCAAGACTACATAAATGGACTTAAAATGGGCGTTTCCAACTTTAACTGTATTTTGTTAATGTATGTAAGTAAATACTAATGTCCTCGAAACTAACCACACTTATCAAACGATTCCTAATCTTGGACAATACATGTTTGACTTCATTCACCATGATTTTGAAAACTGACCAAATCGGCGTGACCAAGTCCATGGTCCTTTTAATATTATATAAACATCCGAAAACATAAAAACGTTTCAAATAAATCTCTTCTCACTTTTATATATTTTTCACTTGGTTGCTGAAGTAGTGGGGAATTGAAAACTCACAGGGGAAAACTATCGTTTTTTTTTTTTAGTTTTATCTTAATATCTGAAAAACTTGTAGTCTTATTAAAAATTATATATGAACGTAAGATACTAAATTTAATAACCCTTAATTTAATATATCGTGCTGTTTATAACAATTAACTCATTCCTTAGATATTACGAGCCGAAGTTTCATTTTCATAATTCATACCCTCTGAATCGATTGCGCGGGCTAAAGATAAGTTTAAAATTAATCTTTCGCGGCAACAAACAATTATTTTCCCCATACAAAATCGACCCAGCCTAGTGTACACCATGTTCTAATATAATTTTCACAATTATTTTCATTAACAGCTTTCTGCCTTAATTATTTATGAAAATATAATTCGTTCCATAATATAAACCACATAAATCTAAGTTTCACACTTTATGTATATAAAGTTCAGAAATACTCAAACAATTTTCAACTTTTTATTCAGGATCTCTAGGAAATTTCGATTATGCAGTTTTGTAGCTCATGCAATTTTAGTCTGCAAAGTGCGAGGTTTAACCGGCTGAAAAATCGTGTTGATCTTTGAGATTTTTTTTTAAACTGCTTTTGCGGTTTTTTTATGCACCAAGTTCAATTTTGGTTTCGATTTTTTGAAATTTTGTTGCTTACGGCCTTCCGCATTTTATTTCATAAGAAATTCGTGCAAAAATCCGTCATCAAAAAAAATAATAATCTCAAAAATCACCGGAATTTTTCAACCGTTTGAAACTTGCACCTCATTGGACTAAAATTGAATAGGCTAAAAAACTGCTTACTCGAAAATTTTAAAAAAAATTCTGAATAAAAATTTGAAAATTTTTTGGGTTGTTGAGAACTTTACATAAAGTTTGAAACTTCGATTTATATGGTTTATATTAAAGAATGAACTATATTTTCATAAACAATTAAAGCAAACGATTTTTCATGAAAATAATTGTGAATATTATATTAGAACAAGGTGTACACTTTCTTGTGTACATATGTATAGACTTAGTAGTACATATGTATGTATGTAAAATTATATCAAAGCAATATGCCAAATGTAATTAGTTTATGTGCCTATTTTTCCGCTATACGGATATGGCTACCGCTGCCGCTGTCACCGCTGCCGTCCGTGTTGGTGGAGATAAGGTGACGACAATGAAGTGGCGCTTGTTGCTGGTATATCGTTGTATTAAATTGATCTGGTTATGTAGCAAAAAAAGGCATGGGCAACAGCAGTCGCCTCGCAGCCATTCACTTCGTCTAAGCGTTCGCCTCCCACGCGTTTTATACGTGACGCGCTGATTGTGGGTGTCGGCACACAGTAACCACTCAACACACTACCTAACAAATGCTGTGCTATTTTTATCTAACCGACTGTTCCTTCTGTAAGGCTTTGCGGAACCGACAAACGTTGTAGCAAACATACGCGCAGATAAAACTACAAAAGTGCTCACGCGTCACTACATTAACACCAAACACCAGAAATACGAATTATCTTTGCCCACATTTGCTCATCCGAGTACATATTTATCCTTTTCTCATACATTTCGTGGGCGCTTATAGGTAGTGGATTCCGCAATCAACGCTTACTCTCACTCTCTCTCTTTGTCCGTCACTTATCATCTTCAAAGCTGCAATTCCTTTAGCCCACTTGAGCAGCCTTTGTGGCTGCTTAGCGCATTAAATGCGTTGGCGTAGCGCTCCTTTCATGCGTCAAAAGCGTTGGGTGATATCACACTCGGTAAACATTAGGAATGTTAATCCTGGGATCTCAGGTCCCGAAAATCCGGGGATTATTTCCAAGAATTTGCACTGATGGCAATAATAGAAACTGCTTTTTTTGACCAGTATTGGCTATATTTATTTTTATTTTATTTAAAAATTAATATTTTTTTATAATTGTCTAGCTCATCATACATATAGCACCGTGCGATAGTAAATTTTTCACGCAAAAATCCATATATTCGCGAAACCATGGACCAATATAGTAAAATTGAGCTTTTAGTTTTTCACTCTGACGTCAGTAATTAAAAATGATTTAAAAAATTCAGATTCAATTTTTTGGTCCATAAAGACTGGTAAGTATTGAAAATGGCCTTTTAAAATTATATCCTTGATATTTCGCAATATTTGTTTTTGAAAAAATTATATCTTAAGGACTTATATAAACTCGGTAACATTCTCGAATTTCGTCCTTCTAACTTTATCCGCTTAAAAAATTACCTTTTGTCCTTGGGAATTCAAAAAAATTTCGTAATAACGACATCCCGAAAATGCCGGTATCGTAAAAAGCGAAAAAATTAACATCCCTAGTAGGCATTCATTTCATTGTTGCGCCACCATCATCCGGTAATTGTCGTCACTGGGCTTGCGAAGGCTTGATAATGAATTATTATAATGCCATCAGCCGGTTGCCCAGCTGGTCGGTTAGGTGTGTAATTGGAAAGTGCGTACACTAGTATCTGCAAATTGTTGTTCCATTCTCTTTCGATTTCATTTCTGATTCTTCATTGTTTTTGTCATATTTTGCATATTTACGTAAACAAGTTTTGCTAAATAAAACAAAAATAATAATAATAATATATCGAGACCTGACATACCTGTAATAACGCGCAACCACGTGCCGGATTTATGGCGGAAATGTTGTAATATTTTAATTCATGTTTGCAGTTGAGTGCGGGAAACTCGGCGTTTCTAAGAATCGTGTGAGATAATACTTATAAAGAAGGTGTGCCGTTTATTAATAGTGTTTTTTTTTTGTTTTTGTTGGCCTACAAGGAACTTAAATACAATAAACTACATAAGGAAATGTAACATTTATGCTGGTGTTTATTCGATTCCATTTTTTTCCGATACCGATGCCGACTAATCGGCTTATGAGGAAAGAGTCGGCCGATGCTGATTACACAAAAAAAAAATTACAATCAAATTTATTAATACAAAAACAAAGTTTATTTAGAAATACTTAATTAAATTAATTTGCTTGTTATGTAGTTTAGCATAACATAAATACGCATAGATACAAGTATATATGTATACTGAAATAAGAATCGGCAAAACTGGCCGGTAAATATGCTGCATATACATATGTGCCGCTACTACCCGATGCCGATTATGGGGTCAGACTCTACTTAGATATACATATGTGTGTATGTATATTAGGGTGGTCTAAAAAAAGTAAAATCAGGATTTTAATGCTCTCACCTCCTAGGATTGCTCTATAATGAGAAAAAAAATTTAACCCTGTTTTTTTGATTTTGAAATCAAAAATATTTAGAGGTCGCTAGAGGTCCGTCGCCTTTTTAATGGCTAAAACATCTGCCTGAAGAAAGCTACCATACTCTGGCAGCTCATAAGATTCCCTTTTCCATGTAGGACCTACCCATATTAATAAATATGTACAAATATATGTTCACAAATACATGCACCGAGTCAATCAAAATAATTGCCTGGCGCCAACCTTCTGCCTCAACAGTGGCTTTGACATTCGTTCCAAAGTACAGAGTCCGAGATCAGACTACGTAACATTCGTCCAAAAAGGTTCGACTCTATCCTAGTGACCGTAGGGCCTGCACAAAAACAGCCTCAAAGCATTAAGTCTGGAAACCCTTCTAGACCGTCAATGTGGTTCTGAGTGCTAACGATTTCCGTGAAGATCTATGGGAGAGGGAAGGAGCACCTAAGCCACATAGGGTACAACGGAGGCTGTCTTCGCCCTCTCAAATACGTGGAGCCGCCTCGAAATTTTGATATCGAGCATTATTCCAAGGTACTTACTTATTGATTTGCTTCCGCCATAAAATCGATGCCCTCAATACCGGTGGATAATCTTATATTTCCTGGTAAAGAGTAGGCTAATTTGCTGATTAGTTTGCTTAGGGTTGGCAACCACTTCCCGCTTAGTTCATATGACGGGGACGTCATCCGCGAAGGCTGTAAGCTCAGCAGGACCTCCCTGTATTTTTTTGAGTATCTTGTTGACAACCAGCGACCAGAATAGTGAAAAGATCTTATTGGCAATAAATTAATCTTTTTTTGTCCTTGCTTAGTCTTATTAATCCGCAGCCGCTAGAAAAGAAGAAAAGAAAAGAAAAGGAAAAAGATCACACACACACACACACACACATACAAACATACCGAAAAATGATTGATTCATAAATCGGCAAATCAACATTTGAACCCGCCATCAACAGTTATTCAACCGTGTATTGAAAATTTGGCGATTCACTACGGTTTTGGTTAATTGACGTCTTTTGGTCGGTTTCGTAGTTGGCGGCTCATTAGCCAACTTCTTTACGCCCAACACGTTTTGAGCGTTTTAGCTACTTTTTTTTATAACAACCACAAATTTCTATAACTTCGATTTATTTTTGGTTAAACTTTTTACGATTCGCCACGGCTTTGTCTGCAATGAATTGTCTAGTTGCACGTAAGCATGGAATAAATAGCAAGCACAGCAAGTGTTGTTGGTGGTAAATTTCGCTGCCTTTGTATGTGTCAGGTGTGTTGGTTGATTGAGGTGCGTATGTGAATGTCGAGTGTCGGTGTGTAAAGTCAGCACACGACAGTTAATGAACAGTTAAAATGAGTTGCACGCGCGTTCGCATGCATATGTATGTATATACACCCTACCCGGTAAAAAATACGATTACCACAGAAATTAAAGTGGAATCGAATTGGGCGAAGGGAATCGCTTACCCTTTCGCTTCAAGAAGGCATTATTTTAACTTGGGCAAGTCATTGGCCGTAAGCCCTTACCCGCAGCATTACCTTCGAACGAAGGGAGAACGCATGGATAAACAGAATCCAGTGAAGTGAAAAAAGAATGCCTCACAGCGAAACTAATGTAGAATGCCTATCGTCGTTTAAAGTACAAAACCGCGTATCGTCATTATGCAAAACCACGTAACTGACATTTGTTGCCAAAAATTGGATTTACTCACACAAGCTCGTGGCTCAATCCTTATTCATTCGTCCTGAAATTCATACCGGCAATGCGTACAATGCCTAGAAGGCATTGTAAGGTAATTCATTTTAGAACACGTTACCATTAAAAGCGATTACCGATTTTTTGCTGGGTATCTAGATACGTACAATCAAAAAAAAGCAAAAAAATAAACAAATGGCAGGCATGTGAATGTGACCAATGTAGTGCGATAATGCCGCAACACAGCTTTGGTAGGAAACAGCAACGGCTCAGTATATGCTCATGGAATTTATTTCATTTATTTTATTTCATTTTTAATTGTATTTTTAAGTTGTGTGCTCTATAATGTGTGCATATTTGATCTACATTTTGGTTAAATTGTAGTAAGATCACACATAAATATATTGGTATGTATACGCTTGTGGAAGCGTGTCGGTAACCAACTGCGACAAATTTTTCCTACATAAAGGGCAGAGTAGTCATTAGTTTGGTTATTTCACCTGAAAGGAAGTCCCAAAGAGAATAAAGCCAATAGTACTTTGAGTATCCAACAGATTTGTATCAAATATTAATTCTGCCTTCACCCTTTTTATAGTTACATACAAATATGTATGTATGTATAAGCAAATCTCACGACTTGTTTATGTACTTCTTTGTTCCCACGACAGTCGGGTCTACGTAACCGGAACGACCCAGATTTATATTTGGCCAAGGACTGTCACTCCAGCATCACTCCCCAAAAACTCTTTAGCCAAAAACTCTTTAGGGAGTTGCTGCTACAACAACAGCAACAACTTGTTTTTTTGTTAGTGTCGCTTCTTTCTCTCGCCAGAGAAAATACGCTCAAACGTTCTTCTTGCATATATCTCAATCAACAATACAATAAATCAATAAAAAATAAATAAAGTATTTGAACAATTTTAGTTTTAAAACGTTTATTCAGGCGAAAAGTTACCAAAATTACTGATTTGTTTTACTGTCGCTCGAAAAAATCTTAATTGTTTTTTTTAAATAACTTTGGGAAGTTTTAAAATAGAATGTTCATAATGTAGGCAATGGACACCGGCATCAAATACAACATATCTGTGAAGTTTTGTAATTTTTGAAATTTTAAAATTTGTTTTCAATTTTAATAAATCTCCACTGGGTATCTATAAATATGTAACTCTTTATTTCTATATGTATATAGTTGCATATGTGAATGGAGCATGTAAGTATGTATGTACATAATTTCACGCTGACTACCGGT